TTCTCGATTAAGGGAATCCATCTCGGTTGGAGAAAGATTGGCGGTGGCGCTGCGATACTTAGCGACTGGTGATAGTTTTGGAAGTTTGATGTCTGTTTTTCTTTTAGGGAAAACAACAATTTGCAATATAATACGCGAAACCTGCGAGGCAATTTTCCGAACCCTAAAAGATGATTTCCTAAAAGTATGTAGATTTCTGTGTTTGCATTTACGATCTGAACAGAAAGTGTTATATTTTTTTTTTTTTTGTTCAGATGCCAAATTCTCCCGCTGAATGGTTAGACATTGCAAACAAATTTGAAGAGAGATGGAACTTCCCAAATTGCTGCGGTGCACTAGACGGGAAACATATTATTATTCAAGCACCTCCTAATAGCGGCTCCGAATACTTTAATTATAAAAGCCACAACAGTATTGTCTTAGGGCCGTTTGCACCATGTCTAGTTAACGCTAACTGGAGGTACATCCTTCAGTTAAGCACGTTAACTGCTTTATCGATCACATGTTATATGATGGGTGTCGATAACGTCGATAAAGATGTTTGACTGGGAGTTAGAATTAACTAGACATGGTGCAAACGGCCCTTAATGGCAATGGTAGACGCCGATTATAGATTTTTGTTTGTTGAAGTTGGAGCGTACGGTCGTGAGTCAGACGGAGGAGGTTTTGCAAGGTGAGATACCCACAACGTACAAATTTTATAAAAGTGGTACCCATAAATATACTTTTTGAAGTGAAACTTCTTTGGGTTCGGTTGGGGGTAAATGTAAACATCGATGTAACGAAAAAGCGAGCTCTAATTCCAAACGAAAAAACGGCAGCTTTCAGCTCCGGTTTGTAGTAACCGAACATTGAACAAATGGCCCTAAGATAAAAGTTGTCGGTAAGGTCAAAGTTAAGGTTAACTAAGATTTAGGTTGAGGTTGAGATTAAGACAAAATTTTCTTATTATGCAGAAAATACTCAATATGACGTGGTAATAGGAAGAAGTTTCATTTCAATCGCGCGTGGGATCCACTCAACTATTTTTTTATTAACATATATATATTTGTAGATGCCCACTTTCAAATGCTCTAGCTGAAAATACAATTAACTTTCCACCTCCAAGATCGTTGCCACATGAAGGAGATCTGATGCCGTCTGTGATTGTTGCTGATGACGCCTTTCCACTTAAACCATATCTCTTAAAGCCATTTTCTTATCGCGAACAAGTAATGTCACACAAAATCATTAATTATAGACTTTCTCGAGCCAGAAATGTGGTGGAAAATGTATTTGGCATTTGCGCGTCGCGGTTTAGAATCCTTAGACGACCAATGGATGTTAAGCCTGAGACTTCTAAATTCATAGTTCTTGCAATATGTGTACTGCATAATTTTCTAATATCAAGAAATTCAGTATATTTTAAACGAAGGGATGTTGACAGTGACATAAACGGCGAAGCATTGCCCGGTAATTGGCGAATGGAGCTCGGTCAAAGCGAAACTTTAAATTCTATTCGATCAAGCAGTTCTTTAAGTCGCCCGGCAGATGATGCATTGCAAGTACGACAATTATTTATGAAGTACTTCATGACACCCCACGGAGAGGTACCCTGGCAATACAGCAGGACAATTCTGCATAATTCATTCATTCATTTATAATTCATTTTAAACATACACTTGTGATCAGCTAATTAAGCCAGCAACATTTTGGTAATTTTGGTTATCTTTCTTTTGTTTATTTAATGTTTATTTTTCCATAAAAGTCTAGCTCATTATATAACAAACACCATATTAATCCAGATTTCAAACTTTGTGCAAAAATTATGAAAAATCTGCAAAGTCGGCTAAATTTTCAACATTTTATGCAGATTTTGTTGTTGTTGTTGTTGTAGCGGCTACAACAACCCCGCCCAGATCGGTTGGTATCTCAGTCGTTGTCGTCAAGTTCCACTAACGGCAACCCTAGGAAGCGTGCAGCTTCTGTGGGATCTGTCCACATGGACAAGGCCGTTAGGGTTGTCGGGTTTTCCGGGCATACGAAGAGATGGTTCGAGTCATGTGGGGTCTCTCCGCATGCCGGACATTCGTTCGGCACATCCTCATTCAGCCTACTCAAGTAGGAGTTTAACCTGCTGCAGTAGCCGGAGCGAAGTTGAGCGAGTGTAGTGCGTGTCTCCCGAGGCAGATGAAGCTCTGTCTCGTCTATGTCCGGGGGTGGTATGCCTAGAACGGCATTCACAGGTCTAGAGTCTACATAACTCGAGACTGAGTCCCTGTGAATGCCGTTCAGGGCCTGTCTGTACGCTGTCGGGTCCAGAGGTTGCTTAATGAACCTCTGGACTTCGTCCGTCAGTTCATATAGATGCCTCCTGACGTGCCTAGGCGAGGGCTCCTCTGCAAGCAGCTGTCTGTTTGGGTGGCCACTTCTGTGGCTCCCGATCAGGAACTGCTTGCAGAGCATTATGTTGTGCTCCTTAACTGGGAGCATTTGCGCCTCGCCGTGCAAGTGGTGTTCTGGCGACATCAGGAGGCATCCCGTCGCTGTCCTAAGTGCCGTATTTTGTACCGTCTGTAGCTTCGTCCACTGCGTCCTACTAGTCCCTGGCGACCACACTGGCGCTGCGTAGTTCAAAACCGGCCGGCCTATTGCCTTGTATGTTGCCAGCAACGTTTCTTTGTCTTTGCCCCAAGTACTGCCGGCTAGCGACTTGAGGACCTTGTTGCGGCTCTGTACTTTATTGACAATAGCGGTTGAGTGCGCAGAGAAGGAGAGCAGGCTGTCGAATGTTACTCCGAGTATTTTGGGGTTATTCACCGTCGGAATTGGTGTGTCATCGACGTGAATCCCCAGCGGTAGCCTGACCTCCTTCGTCCAGGTTGTGAACAGGGTCGCGGAGGATTTCGTAGGGGAGAGGGCTAGACACTTTGCAGTGAAGAAGCGAGAAAGTTCGGAGAGATAGCCGTTTACTTTCAAACACAGGTCATCAATTCCATTCCCAGTCGCCATGATCGAGCAGTCGTCGGCATAGGAGACAATCGAGACTCCCTCTGGTGGTTGAGGGAGCTTTGAAATATAAAAGTTAAACAGTAGCGGGGAAAGGACACCACCCTGAGGAACCCCCTGTTTTATTTTTCGCTGCTTACTCGTTTTGTCTCTAAATGTTACCGACGAATGTCGACCACTCAGATAATTTGCCGACCACCGTTTGAGCCTCTGTGGGAGAGAGGAGGCCTCTATATCTTCTAG